GTCTGTCGATTTCATGTGACTGTGCAAACTTTGGTTTTGTTGCAATTGTTAGGTTTTGTGTTATTGAGCAATTCATCGGTCTAAATTGAAGTCAAATGGATTATAACACCCTTGAAGATGCGTTAGAATTGATCTTCAGCAACCCATGCTTGTGGTAAAAGGCGACTAACATGATTTTGACTTGGTTAACACATGTCATCGTATCCCAATTGTGTAGATTGAAAATTATGCTGTTGATCACTGGATTGTCTGGTCCAGACTCCATTATTTACAGACCGCTGCCATATAGTTGGAATATAGCCGAGTGATTGTTAGACAACAAACTAACAAACAAAACCAAACAAAGATATTGCTTACCATAGTGATACAAGCTCAAGGATGTTGAACATGGTATTAACCTCTCCGCCAGCGTACCAGTAGCAATGATACAGATGTGGGGGGGGGGTGGGGAGTTCAGTGATACAGTCAGCCAGGTCATATTACTGCAGGAATAACACAGCATCTCTGCATGGACCTGTTGGAACACTAATCGAAAATGTTCATCGTTGTTAACAAGTACTAGTCCAAGTTCTTGCAACTGCTGGGGTTGATTTCTTCCCAACTTATCCAAAATGGGGGTGATGGTAGCCTGATGGTCAAAGCATTCTCTCGTTATTCTGAAGACCCGGGTTCAATTCCCCACATGAGTACAATGTATAAAGCCGATTTCTGGTGTCTCCAACTGTGATATTGTTGGAATATTGCTAAAAGTGGCATAAAACTAAACTCGCTCACCCAACATATTGATCTTCAGTAACCCATGCTTGTCGTAAGAGGCGACTAACGGGATCGGGTGGTCAGGCTCGCTGACTTGATTGACACATGTCATTGGTTTCCAATTGCACATATCGATTCTTATGCTGTTGATCACTGGTTTGTCTGGTGAAGACCTGATTATTTACAGAGCGCGCCAACCTATGACCTGGTATGTTGCTGAGTGTGGCATTTTACAACAAACAATACTATACATTATAGTCTGTTTGCAGTAAAAACGTACTGGTGATTTTCACTTTAAAACAGTAAATCAAATAAAGCAAAATTACAATTGCGAATCCTCATAAGTTTACCTTGCCAAATGAACATTTAAATAAGAGTGCATTTCAGTGCAGTAGTTGGAACAGTGAAACAAATGCACGTGGCGTACGTAATGAGTGTTAACTTAGACCAACCCTACATCTTCCCTGTGTTTCATTTTTTAATGTGTATACCCCCTTGTAATACAAACCAATAAGAGCGATTTGAAACTATGATCGTGTGTTAAGCAACTTTTATCCTAAGTTGAATAAAATTCTCAGTTTTAAATGTTCAGTTGGCAAAGTTATGAGGATTCGCAATCTTAATTTCACTTTGATTTACTTTTTTTGTTTAAAGTGAAATTCATAGGTACGTTTTCACTGCAAACAGACTATAGCATGAATGAATAAAGAGTAACGTGTCATATTTCCCCATCAGTGAATGATCACATTAATATGAAACAGAACACCTTAAAATAGAAATTTTCTTCTTCCATGGAATGTGTAACGGCACAGAACCAAACACATTAATCATATACGTGGGTGAATTACTAATAATATTCATTACTTTAATTATCTTTTTATTGGACATATGGCGTTGGTGTAAAACGTTTGATTATGAGTCTACCACACTTTAAAAAATATTGTTTGGAATTGTTAAGGACGTGATGTATTATTTGCTGATGTGGTTGGATGTCCCTATTTCAGACTTCCATAAGTATCCACAGATTTTATAGATACCAGTTTGTCATGTTTGTCATGTCATGTTTGTCACGTCGATCAAAGAAAGTGAAAAGATGGTGCTTGCTGTAGCTCTGCCTGGCTCTTGGAAAACAATATGATGAACAAGGACTGGCATGAGAACTTAATGACACTATGCTTGTTTAACTTAGTAACAGAATATTTATCCCAGATAGTTAATATTGATATTTAATGTAATTTATAACTCAAGATTATATTTTTCCATATTTCTTACATGCTTGGTTTAGTATATATCAAAATGATTTTTGTCAAAATTATGAACATAATATGCATTTTATGGAACTTGAGGCTTTAACTGTCTGAAAGCAAATTAATCAAGTAAAGAAGTTATGTTTATTACTGAAGACTGTCAGCAAACCCATGCTTGTTGTTAGAAGTTACTAAGGGGACGGTGGGGTAGCTTCGTGGTTAAGGCGTTTGCTCGTTATGGCAAAGACCTGGGTTCGATTCCCCACTTGGGTATAATGCGTGAAGCCCATTTCTGGTGTCCCCTGCTGTATTGCTGGAATATTGGTATTAGACATCGACAACATGCAAACAATGATATTTCAAGTATCTATAAGTAATTTGAGAGCATAAGGTTACATGGGTAATTTATTATATACCAAGATAATTCTTTAAATTTCTCTAAATCAACATTCAAGCATATTTTCCTGTTATTGTGTGAATCAGTGTATTATAAAATTCAAGCAGTATTAACTAAATACATGTGATGTCTTATTGTTAAGGATGTACATGTTATAGAATAAATGTATCAAGATGGAATATATTATTTTCCTTTCAATATGCTGGATATGTAAACAATAAAACTAAGATTATAACTTCAGTTTCCACCCAATGTGAACAGCTTGGATAGAAGGTCCATAGAAACCTCCCAGCAACGTTGTCATTGTGAATGTCATGGTAGTTTGAAATATGTGAGACATTGTGTCCCTCGTTTAACTTAGTTATGACTCTGTACACACTGAAGTGGGCTTGGTAAGCTAAATATGTTTGTTTTCCTTGTTCATGGGTTTTCTCACGTGATTTATGCTACTGTGGGACAGGGATCCTTCCTGACCAACACCATAAAGAAGTCAGTATGGTGATTGTCTTGGTTTTATGAATGCTAGTTGTGCAGACGGTCTGTGCCATCAAGGGAGTAAAGGCATGTCTAGTTTCGTGTACTTGTAAGCAAACACTCCTCATGTATTTTTTTTCGAAGGCTCTGGAGGTACGTTAAGTAGTTTTGATTTCTAATTATCACAGGTTTTCTTTTTCAGTTTTTGTGATACCCATGCATGCTTCCAATATGTCTATAAATGTTGAATAGCCTCTGTGGGTAGATAGTTTTGAAGAGTTATGTTCTGGGAAAAAAAGGTTTTAAAGATATGTTTGCATTTTTAATCATTACTGTTATTGTGAGTTTCAAACATTTAAGGGGCGGTGGGGTAGCCTTGTGGTTAAAGCATTCGCTTGTCACGCCACAGACCCGGGTTCGAATCCTCACATGGTACAATATGTGAAGCCCATTTCAGTGTCCCCTCCTATGATATTGCTGGAATATTGCTAACAGCAGCGTAAAACCATACTCGCTCACTCGCTCATTCAAACATTTGTAGTTTATGCCATGGAAAATGTTGGTTGTTGTGGGTGGAAAAGATGATACTATGAGTTGTGGATGATGATGATGATGAGCGATGGGGTAGCCCAGTTGTTAATATGTTCAACCGTTACGCTGGGTTCAATTCCCCACATGGGTACAATGTATGAAGTACATTTCTGGTGTTTCCCAGTTGGGATGTTGCTGTAATATTGCTAAAAGCAGTGTAAAACTCTCTCATGTGGTATCAGGTGGTGGGATAGCCTAGTTGTTTAAGGCGTTGGTACACCTACAGAATACCGAATACCTACCAGCCATATTGTTTAGTGTCACATCACCCGAACCCAAACGGTAACCCTAACCCTAACCCTAAACCTAACCTTAAACCTAAACCTTACCCTAAACCTAACCCTAAACCTTACCCTAACCCTAACCCTAAACCTTACCCTAACCCTAAACCTTACCCTAAGTAAACTCGCATGCTTTCAAAGATGGCGGAAGGTATCCAGTATTCTGTAGTCTTACCAAGGCGTTCGCTAGTCACATGGGAAATATTGTGTGAAGCCCATTTCTGGTGTTCCCCACTGTGATGTTGCTGGAATATTGCTAAAAGTGGCGTAAAACCATGCCCACTCGTTTTCATAATAAAGCATAGTTTTTCTGGATTTCGAAAACAATCCATTTAGAATTGAAGATATGTTTAAAGACTCTAATCCACATTTCTCTAACTAAATTGCCTCTTTAGAGTCTATGTTTTCATTAATAGGACATTAAAAATGCCATAAGGAAAAGTGCAATGACTCAGTGATACAATTAGGCCTAAAAAAAAAAGCTTGTGGTTCCGATTTCCCGACCGACCCTAAATATTCCTGCCGAGCCTAACAATTTTACTCACCACATAATAAATTAAATTTATTTTCTGACACATGAGTAATGTAAAAATATTTTGCAAAAACCCCAAAACCCTACCTACCTACCCTAGTTCTGAATTGTAGGAAATCGGAACCATAACATTTATTTTTGATTGGCCTTAGTAAACTGTTAAAGCAGTGTTTCACCCACCCAACTCAGTGGCTCTATAGCATGCTGCTTGTACAGTCCCCACGTGTCTACTACCTGGACTACTCAAGGTTGTGTACAGCTGGTATAGCTCAATATAGATAGGTTATATTATGTAGGTGTATGTACATGTTATATGTTTGTCTTGCTCATATACTGGGGAGATTCTGGGTTAGAAACTATCATTGGCAACTTTTGCTGATAGCCAGAGGCAGCCAAAATAATCAGTTGGAATGGCTCATTGACTTGGTTGATTCCATGTCGGTGAAGCAAAACTGTGTGGATCATTGCTTGTTGTATAAATGACTTGATTGTCAGGTCCGGACTTGACAGTTTCAGAGACCACCACTATACAGCTGGAATATTGCTGAGTGCAGGTTGAATGAAAAAATCATTTGTACTTGGAAATTTGAAGAAAAGAGTGAACATATAAATGTCAAAACTGAAGAAAATATTAAGTGTTCTTACTGTAGTGTGGTTTGTGCACAATATAATGTGCTGATGAAATAAATGTTTCATAATATTTATGTGATTTGTTTTTACAGAGGCAAAGTTAAGAACTCAACAGGGCAAGGACTTCAATGGTTTTGCACCTGGTGACAAGTGTCAGGTAAGTTCGTTAGTTTGGTTACCGTACTAAAGTGGGCTGATTAAAGCATGTTTTATATTCACTTGCAAGGCAGATTTAAAAGGGGGTGGGTTCCAGGGACTTCAAATAATTACATAATATCACTGATTGGCTGATTTTGACGCAATTCATATGCGTATGTAACTGTCTTCTTTTGTTATCATGACCCCATTTGCCACCTAATTGTAAGCATAGTTACTTTATCGCAGCATATACACTAGAACTGTTATAGTGATTGTCTGCCCCCTCTTAAAAAGACTAAACCATTCCTGTATACCAATGGAAAAAAAACTGTTTTGGATTCCAGTTTTTTGTTTCAGCTTCATATTTTATTTTATTCCTAATCACAAATTAGAATCAAAACTAAATTTTCCACTTTTTGAAGGCAATCGTTCATCTGTGAATCACTTAACTGTTAACAGATTACACCATAGTTAAGTATGGTTGCTTTTTTCGATCATTATGTAAAAGGATGAATATATGAATCTCTAAAAAACAATTTCATGTTTGAGTTTATCAAGAAGTTCTTGATGTCTTAAGCATGTGTTGATAAGATAAGATGAGTTGAGGAGTTGCATGTTTAGCGAGCAGTGAGTGGTTGAGGTGGAGTGGTACAATACAAATATTGCTGTGTCCTGCCCTGTGCAATACGTGTGATTATACACTCCACCCTCCAGGGTCATACCATGTGTAACAATGTAACTAGGAAGTGAGCTTGGTGGCAGGGTCAAGGGTCAGTTTGTTCACCAACTTGACAGACTCACTGTATCTAGACAGTCACAGTCCCTTTTGTTCTTCTATACGACAGTGGTTCTCACTAGGCATTGTTTAAGTGTCCGTGTTGCCAGTGGACATGTCTGATGCAGTCAAAAGAATGTATGATTTGAAAAGATGTATACTGAACAAAATATGTTAAGGATCACAAAACATTTGTAGGGCTAATCCCTAAAACTATTAATGATCTCGGAAGTTATTGTTCAGTATATTTGGGGTTATTGTCTAGTTTCACTTTACTGTTAGGGGCGGTGGGGTAGCCCAGTGGTTACAGTGTTTGCTCATCATCCTGAAGGCCCAGGTTCGATTCCCTGCATGGGTACAATGCTTGAAGCACATTTCTGGTATTCCCTGACGTGATATTATTGCTGGAATATTGCTGAAAGTTGCGTAAAACCATACTCACTCACTCTTTATTATTATATTTTTAAACGTTTCGGGGAAAATGATGAACTACAAAAGGTGATGTTCCTTTAGGTTCTACGCCCAGTTAGTTTTAGGCTGTTTGTATCACTAAGCAGTTCTCACAGAATACAAACAAATTTTAAATGTGGCAGCTGTATAAAGATGATATTGCTGGAATATAGCTAAAAGTGGCGTAAAACCATACTCTCTCACTGATGAACTAACTTGATTTTTATGCCCCCGCCATATATGGCAGGGGCATATAGGGTTACCCTCGGTGTCCGTTCGTCCGTCCGTACGAAACAGGGAATGTATTCTATCCACTTCTCCACCATAACCGCTCTGTGGAATTCAATGAACTTATACATGGGCTTTCTTGGGACTCTAATGGTGTGCATCTCATGTTGTTGTTTTTATTTTATTGGTTTATTTTGTAAGTTTAGAGACATTTGAACTTAGGTACATTTTGCTGAATTTCTCTATGATGATAGTGTAATAGGGGATGAAGTCTATCCACTTCTCCACAAAAGCTGCTCAACAGAATTGATTGAGCTTCTACGTGTGTTTCATTGGACCTTGTTCATCCAATTTCTTAATTTTGTCACTTCTACAAATGTTTGAACTTAGTTGAATTTGGTTCTATTCATCCTGTTCGTCCCATACAACAGGGGGTGTACTTTATCCACTTCTCCTCAAAAACCACTGCACAAAACTCATTTAGCTTACATATGTCTTTTATAGAGACTCTAAAGGTTTGCATCTCATATTTTGTTTTTGTATTTTATATTTTTTTGGTATGTTTAGAGACATTTGAACTTAGATAAATTTTGTTGAATTTCTCTGATGATAGTGAAATAGGGGATTAGGTCTATCCACTTCTCCACAAAAACTGCTCAACAGAATTGATTAAGCTTATATGTGTGTTTCATTGGGACTCGAAAGGTGTGCATCTCATAGTTGTATAGATGTTTATTGAACTTGTTCGTGAATTTTGTTCAATTATTGATCTTTATATGATAATAGGTTGTGTTATCTAACCCCTCAACACATTGTTTTTAGTGTTTTCAAGTACTTCAGTGGGACCCTGAATGTGTGAACTCTTCCTACAGCAGCGGGGGCATCCGTGTCCCTGGACACAATTTTTTCTTGTTATATCATATAGTAGTCAGCATGGTATCAGAGTGGGCAAACTTTAATCCCACACATACATACACATGTGCAGAGCAATAAGTTTTAACATGGTATTGAACACCACACCACATCACCTAGGTGGGGTAGCCTAGTGGTTAAAGTGTTCGCTCATCACTCCGAAGGCCCGGGTTCGATTCCCCACATTCATTGTGTGAAGCCCATTTCTGGTGTCCCCTGCCGTGATATTGCTTGAATATTGCTAAAAGCGGCGTAAAACTATACCCACTCACTTCCCCTCAAATGAGGTTAGCTACAGCGGTTTGAACCACTATATTGTTTTGATGGATTTCTGCAATAAACCATTTAAGTAATAAAGTATAAAGTAGCAGTGAACGAAATTGTCACAGAAAACATTGGCTTGCAGCAACTGATTTTCAAAGGGACTGAAATGTTTGTCGCGAGGCTATGGCATATCTTGTTTTCCACATGACTTAATGTGTATTATAGATTTTCTTGATGAACTTATTGTTTTGGCTTATCTACAGTTTTACCTTGAGGTTGTGGATCAGATCATCACACGGCCCTTCAAGACAGCTGTCACATTACCACTATCCTGCATTTGTAGTTAATCATATGCTGTCAACACTAATATGTGCTAAATGAGAAGTAAATGTAGTGAGAGTATCACTTAGCACAGAAACAAGACATATCCAGGGTTTGGAGAAAACTTACTTTGAAGACGGTAGTTTCAACATCGTATCATATTTTTGTTTAAAAACTGCAAAGAGTTCAAGATAGTTGGCAACCCAGCAAGGTTTATTCAAATTGTGAAGTCCCTTTTCATTATGAAAAAACAAACCCACTTTCATGACACATCGGTTAGTGGTTGCCCAAATCACCTTTTTTTGTGAATAAGAGCAGTTGCCACCGTTCCTGATTGATATGGCAGATAGCTTGACTTGGGAAATTCTTTACAACCACTTTGGGATCTCTCTGATCTTAGTGCAGAGTAAAACTAAGCTCACTCACTCACTCACTCACTTCACCGGTAATAAAGTGGCAGGGCCCAATCTGCAGTGTGCTCTTGCAGAGTTTCTTCCCTTTGGGGCACAACAATGGTCTTTGGTTTGAATCCTGCTTCTGTCAATACCACATACATGCCATTCTGTCAATACCACATACATGCCATTCTGTCAATACCACATACATGCCATTCTGTCAATACCACATACATGCCATTCTGTCAATACCACATACATGCCATTCTGTCAATACCACATACATGCCATTCTGTCAATACCACATACATGCCATTCTGTCAATACCACATACATGCCATTCTGTCAATACCACATACATGCCATTCTGTCAATACCACATACATGCCATTCTGTCATGGTAAAGTGGCATGTTTTGATATAACAGGTTACTGGGGTAGCCTAGTGGTTAAAGCTTTGGCTCGTCAAGTTGATGGCCCGGGTTCGATTCCCCACATGGGTACAGTGTGTGGAACCTATTTGTGGTGTCCCCCGCTGTGATATTGCTGGAATATTCTTCAAAAGCGGCTAAAACGATACTCACTCACTGGTTATAACTTACTGGTAAACATTAAGTTGTTATTCCATATTGTACCGCAAATGTACATGAGCAATCTTAAACCCAATGTGATTCCTCATATCACATATTGCTGAAAGTGGCATAAAACCAAACTGACTCCCTCACTCACTATAGATGTAACCATTCAAAGGGACATTAACCCCTATCACTCAAGGGCAGTACTCTAGCCCCAAGACTCACGGGATAAGCCGTGTTGGCACTTGTCTATATGTGAAGCACTCTATGCCACACAATGACAAAGTCTGGACCTACAGTCCATTTGCTACCCAAAAGATGCCAAAGAATTGATAATTTACTCCAAATGCTGAAAATATTATCAAAACAATTATGCTGCAGAAGTTCATAAATATACTATACCTATTCACATATGAAATTTGATGTTATGGCGGATTGTCAAAAAAAAGTTGTCAATTCTTTGGTGTCTGTTTGTGGTAGATGAACGGTATGGCAGATTTGATGCCACTCAAACTTGACTTCAGATTCATGGATAGGGTCATGAAACAATTATCTAACTTTTGGTTATTTTTAAAATCACATAACATTGAGGTAGTTTTAATCTGGGAGGAAATGAAACATCTTGATAGTTGTTAGTTTGACACCTGATAACATTTTTGCAATACAGATAAGGTGTAATGCACATCGTGTTTATGTAAGATTGAGTTTTTTGTATGTGTCCAACCAGTGAAGATCCGGGTTAGAATTGATCTTCAGTAACCCATGCTTGTTGTAAGAGGCGACTAACGGGATCGGGTGGTCAGGTTGCTGATTTGATTGACACATGTCATCATATCCCAATTGCGTAGATCGATGTTCATGCTGTTGATTACTGGATTGTCTGGTCCAGACTCAATTACAGACTGCCACCATATAGCTGGAATATTGATAAGTCAGACTGACATAACGTTTTTTGCAATGCAGATAAGGTATAATGCACATCATGTTAATCTAAGATTGTGAGTATTTTGTGTGTCCGACCAGTGAAGATCAGGGTTAAAATTGGCATTCAGTAAGTCAGTTTTGTGGGCTTGAGTCAGTTTTGGTTGCTGCAAGTTAAG